AATTTAAAAACCCAACTTCAACAAAATTTCTAAAAAATAAAAATACTAGATCCCAACTTTAATTTCCAGTTTCTTATCAGAAGAAAGACGAAACCAGATAATAATTTAAAAAATTAAATGAATTTAGGATGAAGATGTAGATTGTAATGTTTTCTCAATTTATTGACAAGAAAATTATTCACGAAAATATTTAGTAAAAAATAAAACATTAAATACACATGATTTTGTTGATAATAGATGCAATTTGCACGTGCTTTGACACAGGTTGCAGATTTAAACTGCATTTAAAATACTGATCTAGTTTCTAAAAGATATTGGTTAAAAACTAGTCGAACAAATTAAGTACAGCCAACAAATCTAAACATTGAAATTATGGAGAAAACAGATGCAATAATTCATAAAATCAAGAATTAGAAATAAACACAGTATTTTTACTATACCTCAGATAAATATATGGTAATATTAGGGCACTTCCATTTTATAAATCTTCATCACACTCATAGTTCAGTTAAAGAAGATCTGTTATTTAAATTTTAAAAATAAAAAATGTTAAAGTCTCAATTGAAATTTACAGAAAAGCCACAAAAAAAAGAAACAATTAAATTTGGTTAAAAGCTCACTCTTATGTATAAAATATTTAGAAATAAATTCTTTGATTAAAATCTTAAAGAAGAAAGAAAACTTAAAAGATTTTGCAAATAATTGCATTATTTTAAATTAGAATTAAAAACCAATTAATTATTGAAGCATCATCAAAATAAAATTTCAACTCTAAAAGATTTTTTACTTTGGAAAACATATTATGTGCTGATCATCAAAAATGCTTTCTGGGATCGTAAAACAACGAACATAGTATGACTTTAACCAATTTATTTTTGAGGGCGGGAAAAAAGATTTTGATGAAAAAACCATTTTAAAACTAAAGCTAGGACCAATTCAGATGAGTCCTGAATTGATTGACCATTGTAAAAAAATGGAAATTTCAAGATATTTACTTAATAAAAAATTAATTTTCTAAATCTAGAAAGCCCATGGTCTTGTGCAGCTTTTTATTTGATGTGAATTCTTTTTATGTGAATAAAAACGCTGAAATAGAACGTGGTGCTCCCAGAATAGTAATAAATTATAAACCATTAAATACAGCTTTAAAATGGATTAGGTATCCTATTCCAAATAAAAAAGATCTTTTAAAGCAACTCCATAATGCAAATATTTTTAGTAAATTTGATATGAAATTTGGCTATTGGCAGATTCAAATTGACCCTAAAGACAGATATAAAACAGCAT